ATCGATCTATCGATCTATCGATCGATCTATCGATCGATCGATCGATCTATCTATCTAGCGTATGTTAGGTTTGTTTGTATGTATGTATGTAATGTAATGTACTGTAATGTAATGTAATGTATGGTATGTTTATATGTATGCATGTACGTATGTATGTATGTATGTATGTATGTGTGTATGTTTTTATGTAAAAATAAAACGTAATGAAATGTAATGTAATATAATGTAATGTAATGTATGTATGTATGTACGTATGTATGTATGTATGTACGTATGTATTTATGTAATGTATGTAATGTAGGTAATGTACGGTATGTATGTAATCTATGTAATGTATGTAATGTATGTAATGTAACGTAATGTAATGTAATGCAATGCAATGCAATGCAATGCAATGTATGTAACGTATGTATGTATGTATGTAATTTAATGTAATGCAATGCAGTGCAATGCAATGTATTGTAAGGTAATGTAAGGTAATGTAAGGTAATGTAATGCAATGCAATGTAATGTAATGGTATGTATGTATGTAATGTAGTGTAATGTACTGTACTGTAATGTAATGTAATGTACTGTAATGCAATGGTATGTATGTATGGTAATGTAATGTAATGTAATGTAACGTAACGTAATGTAATGTAACGTAATGTATGTAATGTATGTAATGTATGTAATGTATGTATGGTATGGTATGTATGGTATGGTATGGTGTGGTGTGGTGTGGTGTGGTATCGTATGGTATGGTATGGTCAAAGGAAGTTTAGGGGGAGAAACTTCCGTGTTACGGACTTTTAGAATGTCAGGGAAAGAGTTAGTCAAAGAAAGAGTTAGTCAGGGAAAGGTTAGTTAGGGAAAGAGTTCATCAGGGAAAGAGTTAGTCAAAGAAAGAGTTAGTCAGGGAAAGGTTAGTTAGGGAAAGGGTTCATCAGGGAAAGAGATAGTAAAAGAAAGAGTTAGTGAGGGAAAGAGTTAGTTAGGGAAAGAGTTCATCAGGGAAAGAGTTAGTCAAAGAAAGAGTTAGTGAGGGAAAGAGTTAGTTAGGGACAGAGTTCATCAGGGAAAGATTTAGTCAAAGAAAGAGTTAGACTGTCAGGATGAGTTAGTCAAAGGAAGAGTTAGTGAGGGAAAGAGTTAGTTAGGGACAGAGTTAATTGTAACTTTTAGAATGTCAGGGAAAGAGTTCGTCAAAGAAAGAGTTAGAATGGCATTGCAAGTGGTGCTGGTGGAGGAGTTGCCGATGGAGTTTTGAAGGAAGTCTCGCACGAAATGCGTTTTTGAGAGATAGCAGATGCACGAAACCCTATGTTTTTCCATACAAAGTCCGTCCCCGAACCTCGATGATCTACCTCTGCGGTGCGACGGTTGCGAGACTGTCTCGTGTGTGGTCGATCATGGGCGGATCATGTTCGGATCATGTTCGGATCGGTTCCGCATTGTAAATGGGGTTTCAAGTGTTTTTCGTGCATGTGCGGTCAGACAGAATTCCATTGTGATTTGCAACTGTAGGATCGTTCCCGCAATGTAAATGGGATTGCACGTGGTGCTGGTGGATGAGTTGCCGATGGAATTCCATTGTGATTTGCAACTTAGGATCGTTCAACTGTAGGATCGTTCCCGCAATGCAAATGGGATTGCAAGTGGTGCTGGTGGAGGAGTTGCCGATGGAGTTTTGAAGGAAGTCTCGCACGAAATGCGTTTTTGAGAGATAGCAGATGCACGAAAGCCTATGTTTTTCCATACAAAATCCGTCCCCGAACCTCGATGATCTACCTCTGCGGTGCGACGGTTGCGAGACGGTCTCGTGTGTGGTCGGATCATTCTCGGATCATGCTCGGATCATTCTCGGATCGTTTCCGCATTGTAAATGGGGTGTCACCTGTGTTTCGTGCATTTGTGGTCGACAGAATTCCATTGTGATTTGCAACTGTAGGATCGTTCCCGCATTGTAAATGGGGTTGCAAGTGGTGCTGGTGGATGAGTTGCCGATGGAATTCCATTGTGATTTGCAACTGTAGGATCGTTCCCGCAATGCAAATGGCATTGCAAGTGGTGCTGCTGGAGGAGTTGCCGATGGAGTTTTGAAGGAAGTCTCGCACGAAATGCGTTTTTGAGAGATAGCAGATGCACGAAACCCTATGTTTTTCCATACAAAGTCCGTCCCCGAACCTCGATGATCTACCTCTGCAGTGCGACGGTTGCGAGACGGTCTCGTGTGGTCGGATCATGGGCGGATCATGTTCGGATCATGTTCGGATCGGTTCCGCATTGTAAATGGGGTTTCAAGTGTTTTTCGTGCATGTGCAGCCGACAGAATTCCATTGTGATTTGCAACTGTAGGATCGTTCCCGCAATGTAAATGGGATTGCAAGTGGTGCTGGTGGATGAGTTGCCGCTGGAATTCCATTGTGCTTTGCAACTGTAGGATCGTTCCCGCAATGTATGGGATTGCAAGTGTTGCTGGTGGATGAGTTGCTGATGGAATTCCATTCTGCTTTGCAACTGTAGGATCGTTGCCGCAATGTAAATGGGATTGCGGTTTGCAGCTCAGTGTTTGCAGATCGCATTGTAGTGGCTGCGTCAAGGTTGCTTCCTGCTTTGGCTGCATGCGTAATACTATTGTCTTTTGCAGCTGGATCTCGTAAATCGTCTTGGAGTGGCTGCATGAAGGCTGCGAAATGGATTTGTTAGCAGATTTTCTCCATTTTGGCGCTAGTGATTTTCCTTCTAAAAATCCTTTTAAAAAGTGCTTCAAATTCGTCTTTTTTTCGCTCTGGTGTCCAGATCCGGTTTTGGAGCTACAATTTGCGACGCCGTTGCGTAGTTCTATTGTGTTTTGCAACTCAGTCTCTGCAGATCGCATTGTAATGGCTGCGTCAAGGTTGCTTAGTGCTGTGGCTGCATTGGTAATACTATTGTCTTTTGCAGCTGGATCTCGTAAATCGTATTGGAGTGGCTGCATGAAGGCTGCGAAATAAATTTGTTAGCAGATTTTCTCCATTTTGGTGCTAGTGATTTTCCTTCTAAAAATCCTTTTAAAAAGTGATTCAAAATCGTCTTCTTTTCGCTCTGGCGTCGAGATCCGGTTTTGGAGCTACAATTTCCGACGCCGTTGCGCGTAGTTCTATTGTGTTTTGCAACTCAGTCTCTGCAGATCGCAATGTAATGGCTGCGTCAAGGTTGCTTCGTGCTGTGGCTGCATTCGTAATACTATTGTCTTTTGCAGCTGGATCTCGTAAATCGTCTTGGAGTGGCTGCATGAAGGCCGCCACAGTGATTTGTCAGCAGATTTTCTCCATTTTGGCGCTAAAGATTTTCCTTCTTAAAATCCTTTTAAAAAGTGTTTCAAAATCTTCTTTTTTTTCGCTCTGGCGTCGAGATCCGGTTTTGGAGCTACAATTTCCGACGCCGTTGCGCGTAGTTCTATTGTGTTTTGCAACTCAGTCTCTGCAGATCCTATTGCAATGGCTGCGTCAAGGTTGCTTCGTGCTGTGGCTGCATTTGTAATACTATTGTCTTTTGCAGCTGGATCTCGGAAATCGTCTTGGAGTGGCTGCATGAAGGCTGCGAAATAAATTTGTTAGCAGATTTTCTCCATTTTGGCACTAGTGTTTTTTTGTTGCACGTAGGTTTAGAGCAGTGTGAAGTGTGGGGCGTAAAGAGTGCAGTGTGAAGTGTGAAGTGTGAAGGAATCAGTGGGAAGTGAGAAGTGTGAAGTGTGGAGTGTGAAGTGTGAAGTGTGGAGTGTGAAGTTTAAGTTTGGAGTGTGAAGAGCGCAGTGTGAAGTGTGAAGTGTGAAGTGTTAGGTTTGGAGTGTGAAGGAAGCAGTGAGAAGTGAGAAGTGTGGAGTGTGAAGTGTGAAGTGTGGAGTGTGAAGTTTAAGTTTGGAGTGTGAAGAGCGCAGTGTGAAGTGTGAAGTGTGAGGTTTGGAGTGTGAAGGAAGCAGTGAGAAGTGAGAAGTGTGGAGTGTGAAGTGTGAAGTGTGGAGTGTGAAGTTTGAAGTTTGGAGTGCGAAGAGTGCAGTGTGAAGTGTGGAGTGTGGAGTGTGAAGACTTTGCTTCGTCTCTCGCTGAAAAAATCAAACGGTTGTCGAGGGAAGGACACGGTCGGGACAGGTTGTCTTTGAACTATAGGTCATTTATGTTTGGGAAACTTCCGCCGCCGGCTTGCCCGGATCTATGTTATGGTATGGTATGGATGTATGTATGTATGTATGTATGTATGTTTAACACAGTACAGGCCATATCTTTGCCTGATTCTATCTGGCATTTGCCGCCATCCATTTCTTGTTTCCAGCGTTCTGATTCCTGACACCTCTTCCAGGAGGCCCCAGCTTTGCTAAGAAACACCAAGGCCCTTCTGGTGGTTCATTTTGTTTTCTTGTGTTTTTTTGCTCTCTCCGGTCATGATTTTTCTGTCGTGCAGGGCAAAGTCGACTCCAAGTTGAATCCGAATGTCAGCGACTTAGATGGTTTGAAGGCATCGGCGGGCCAGAGATTAAGTGTTTTCTTGTCTCACGGGTTTGTTTGTCATCGCTAAGGCCAGCGAATTTGTCCAGTGTCCAGTTCGTGCCCAGGCCGGGAATGGGACATTAAAACCTGTTTCGTTGTGGAACTCCCCCAAACAGCAAACCCGTTTGAAATTCATTCATATATATATATATTTATATATACACATATTTATAGTACACACACACACGCAAGAAAACAGTACAATCAACCAGAGCATCAACCATTTCTTGAGATGAACCGCCTCAGGTTTTGGCTCTCATGGAAGATGCCGCTGCAGTGGGCCAGGCGTTTCTTTGCTGGTTTCTTTGCTGGTTGATAGTGTCATCGCTGGTTTCTTGGCGGTTATGGATCGATGAACCTGGCAGACAGACATTGACTACGCAATGGAGAAGATGAAAGGTGCGACTCAGTATGGAATTGTCGGAATTCTTTGTTCTTTTGTCGAGAATTGGTGTAACAACAGTTGACAAATTATGAAATAAGTAATAAGTGTCAAGACAGGTTGGGTCTATCAGACAATAGGGTTCCGTAATCATCACAATTTCCCAAGAAAACGGCTGTGGTTTATGGCGCCCCTGTTTTGGACAAACTCAGATGGTTCAACCATGTTTTACCCTAGTAGCATGGTTTTTCTGACGATCATCAGAATTTGTCTGAAATTGTCAGATTTTTAGAGAGAAGACGTAAACTTTGTCATCATTTCCCGTGATTTTTTTAGGGATGGACTGGATATGTAATCAGAATCAAGTACATTCTCTCTCTCTCTCTCTCTCTCCCCCTCTCTCTCTGTCTCTCTCTCTATATTTGCAGGAGATGCAACGATTGATAAGGGACTGGTCCTTGATTTAGAATGAATGCCCTCCGGTATCATCAAACATGGCGTGCCGGAAAATCCCAGGTTTAGCGTGGGGATTTACCAGCCAGCCATGTTTGATTGATGCCATCGTTGCGGGTATATCTCATTGTCAACCATAATTTTTTCCAGTAGATACCGAAATTAACTGTTGCGGGTATATTTCTGTTGGATTTATCGACCATATTAAAACACCTTTTTAGTAATAGTTGCGGGTATTAACCATTAGAAACCTTTAAACACATGTTGCATGAAACCGGACCGCGGGTGGTCATGACCAGCAACTCGGCCTTTACTGATTTTGCAGGAGTCATTTGAGAAGGGACAGATCTTCGCCAGGCGCCTGCTGACTTGGTATCTGGCGACTGGCGTTGGTAGAGAGGTGGTTGGATGTGGCATGGGATACTTGTTGATAGTGGGATATCACTAGTTCATTAACGAATGGGATACTATAGATCATGTTGATAAATTCCGATCATGTTGATAAATTCTGATTTAATAATGGTTAATCGAAGGAAGTTTAGAAGTCAAACTTCCGACAATATGGACAGATGAAAAGCAGAGCAGGGCAGAGGCAGAAAGAAGAGAAAGATTAGAAGAGAGAAGATCAGAAGAGAAAGAGTCAGAAGAAAGAAGATGCAGATGCGCGAAAAGGTAGGAAAGTCGCGAAACACTGTTTTTACAATGATTTGTGGCTCCAGCGGCTCCATCGGCATGTCTTTCTGGGAAGCCTATTATATGTCCTGAAGCATGCGGAATCAGTTGCGTCCATTTTGCGCCTATGGTTTGCTTCGCTGCCTTAAGTATTGATCCATAGCCTCTTGGCTTGCGATATAGCCTCCAAGTGTCGAACGTATGGGGCCCCCCCCCTCCCCCCCCTTCGATTCCCCCCTGGTCCGCGCCCAAAAATGGATTTGATGCATGTTGATAGGGAACAGCTAACACAAAGAAGGGAGTTGATGTCACATGAAAGCATGTTGACACTTTGGGCATGAAACACGTTGTCCATTTACAAGGCCCTACGGTTCAACAAAAGACTGCGCATCTCCAGCTTTCATTTTGCAAACGAGAACCCAGGAATAAATAGCGACCAGAAAGATGGGATGCAGTTAATTGCATGAGCAAAAACAGCGGCTAGAAGAATGTAGACGTAGCTGACACAGCATGGTGTGGTGAATTATGGCTCTTGATACGATCAGTGCGCACGATGTTTCAGCAAAGATCTTACGTCGATTTCGCGCAGAGCACAACTGCCCACACCAGAAGGTTTTTTTTTTTAAAAGTTTGCTGCGCGTTGTCTTGCTTTTGCATCCTTTGGCCCACCTTGTTTTAAGAAACACCAGCAGGTCGATATTGACCGGGCAAGGTGAACCCCCCCCATTCGATTCCCCCCTGGTCCGCGCCGCGCCCAAAAATGGATTTGATGCATGTTGACATAAAAAAGGGAGTTGATGTCACATGAAAGCATGTTGACACGAAAGGTAGCCTATTGCCAGTTATGGATCCATATCTTCCATTCAGATGCTAACGCCGGCGGCTGACCACAGAGGTCCTGCACAAGGCAAAGTGACTCAACTGAACCTCTCTCGGTTGAGGCACTATGAGTTTGGACCTGTGGCATTGAAAAAACACCTATCTTCACAGAAGAAGTTCGATAGGTTATCATCTATACATATTATATCAAAATAATGATTGATATTGTATGTACAGTATACAGCACTATATCTGTGTCTACATATAAATATATAAAACAATGTATTATAATATGATATATATATATACGTTGTTGTGTGGAAATGACACCAATTGCTCGGACCTGCGGTGTCAACTGCAGAGCATGAACACACGACTGGCTCTGGTGGCGCGCTTGGGGTGGATTTGGCGCCGTGGACGCCGCTGGGGTATTCACACCACTTTGTGACACACCATGTTTCACACACTATCTTTCACACACCATCTTTGACACACCATCTTTCATACAACTTTGTCACACACCATCTTTCACACACAACTTTGTCACACCCTCTCTTTCACACACAACTTTGACACACACACACACTACCTTTCACACACCACTTTGTCACACACCATCTTTGACACATGATCTTTCACACACCACTTTGTCACACACCATCTTTCACACAATCTTTGACACACCATCTTACACACAACTTTGTCACACACCGTCTTTCACACACCATCTTTCACACACCATCTTTGACACACCATCTTTCACACCACTTCGCCACACACCATCTTTCACACACCGTCACAGACCATCTTTCACACACCACTTTGTCACACACCATCTTTGACACATGATCTTTCACACACCACTTTGTCACACACCATCTTTCACACACAATCTTTGCTACACCATCTTACACACACCATCTTTCACCACACCATCTTTCACACACACAACTTTGCCCCGTCCCCGCTGCAAAATTTGTTGATCATTATTGGAAGAAGTTGACTTGTGGGGCTATGCGGTCCCTTAACTTTCTTCTCAATTCGGTGCTCTACGCGCATCACAGACACGCAGCTGAGCTCCATGCTCCAACTGGAATACTTTACGAGACCATTCGATGTTCTTCACAGGTCTCGGACAATGCTCGTGTTAGATAAGAAAACAATAGCAGTATGTCCCTTCGCAGCGACACTTATCGCTGAGCCGCAAGCCTTTTTATAGTTCCCACGAAGCACAAGGACGGTTTCGTCTCCTGCAATTGTTGATGTTGTCTTTGCTTCAGACATCTTCACGCACTTAGCCGCATGAAGGTTACATCCATAAAGACCTACACGAAAAGTGCCTCAACCGAGCGTCGATCGGTTGAGGCACCTTGGCCCCTCTAATTCACATAGGTTGCCAACAAACTGACTAACATTATCTTGCTTGTGGTTCTTATTACTGACTATGGCACGGGGTGGGTGGAATTTAGATATTGAGACAAGATGCATGCAAGAAGTTGTTGATGCCGGGGAAGTTCGGATATTGCAACAGCAAAAACGTAAGAAGTGGCGGAGAGGCCAATAGGGGAAGTCTACGTATGAAACGAAATTGATGCAGGAAAGAAAACAATAGCAGTATGTCCCTTCGCAGCGACACTTATCCCTGAGCCGCAGGCTTTTCATAGTTCCCACGAAACAAGGACGGTTTCGTCTCCTGCAATTGTTGATGTTGTCTTTGCTTCAGACATCTTCACGCACTTAGCCGCATGAAGGTTACATCCATAAAGACCTACACGAAAAGTGCCTCAACCGAGCGTCGATCGGTTGAGGCACCTTGGCCCCTCTAATTCACATAGGTTGCCAACAAACTGACTAACATTATCTTGCTTGTGGTTCTTACTACTGACTATGGCACGGGGTGGGTGGAATTTAGATATTGAGACAAAATGCATGCAAGAAGTTGTTGATGCCGGGGAAGTTATTGCAACAGCAAAAACGTAAGAAGTGGCGGAGAGGCCAATAGGGGAAGTCTACGTATGAAACGAAATTGATGCAGGAAAGAAAACAATAGCAGTATGTCCCTTCGCAGCGACACTTATCCCTGAGCCGCAGGCTTTTCATAGTTCCCACGAAACAAGGACGGTTTCGTCTCCGCAATTGTTGATGTTGTCTTTGCTTCAGACATCTTCACGCACTTAGCCGCATGAAGGTTACATCCATAAAGACCTACACTGCCTCAACCGAGCGTCGATCGGTTGAGGCACCTTGGCCCCTCTAATTCACATAGGTTGCCAACAAACTGACTAACATTATCTTGCTTGTGGTTCTTATTACTGACTATGGCACGGGGTGGGTGGAATTTAGATATTGAGACAAGATGCATGCAGGAAGTTGTTGATGCCGGGGAAGTTCGGATATCGCAACAGCAAAAACGTAAGAAGTGGCGGAGAGGCCAATAGGGGAAGTCTACGTATGAAACGAAATGGATGCAGGAAATTGAGAGGCACCTAGGGGGAAGGGAACGTTCGATATATACTGTCCCAATTTGAAAATGATGCCCAACAATCCAAACTAAAGTTGTTGAGAGATACCCCCACCTACCTTTCGTCCTCCCTCTCAAGTTGCTATGTTTTGGCAGTGACCCACTACTCTACACCACGTAGATCAAACACCAATGGAAATCCAGCAAAGATGTGAAGGTTTCCAATGAACAAGTCACTGCCAATCACTACCTGTTCGCTCTTTTCCTTGATGAGAAGTTTGCACAAGCACGGACGGAATCCACGGACGGAATTCGCCGCAGAGGCGCCTGCTTTAGCTCGCTCCTGGCTATGCAGGCGTCGTGGCCTCAATTCCAAGGAATGGCTACATAAACCAGATTAAACCATCATAATCCCCCATGGGAACATGGTGATGTGGCGACGCCATGACCCTTCAACTGACATCAGTATTTGCAGGATTAGAACTTCCTTAGTCGAATCAGCGTTGCAGATTAGCGTCAGGGTAGTATCAGGGTCAGGTTCCAATCAAACCGTCTAGGATCAGCGCCACCCCATCCCTTGATGTTTTCGGAAACTCAACTTCTTGTTGTTTGTATTTTTCATCCTTTCAGAGCTTGGTACCACATCCAGTGCCGGGGTTGGGCATCAAAATAGCTTGCCCACTGAGGACGCAACTCTGCTTGTGCCAGTGTCTCACCTTTGCAGGTTAGGGGGCTGGGGTTGGGCCATGAACGGCCCGACCTTGTAGGGGGAAACCTGGGCAACATGCCGCGGCCAAAATTCGAGCTGACGTCTTGGCCGGCTTCATGCATGCATGCATGCATACATACATCCATGCATACATACATACATACATCCATGCATGCATGCATGCATGCATACATACATACATACATACATAGATACACATATAAATATATGCATATATATTTAAACACATACACATATATACATATATATTCACATTTACATATACATATACAAATATACATACACATATACATACATATATATATATACATACACATACACATATACATATACATATATATATATATATACACATATTTATACATATATCATTTAAATACAAATATATATATATATATATACATACATGTGTACATGCATATACGGGTTGTAAATGTGAGGCAATTCCTTTGCGACCATTGGTGTTTCTTTTGGTCATCCCAAGGCAGGCAGCAATCAACAGCAAATCTTCAAAAACCTCAAGCAAAGCCAAATGGTCTGGGTTGTAACTATACGAAGCGGTTGCGAAGTGGGATCATCCTCCAAGCTGCCATTTCCCGTTTTACTGTGGCTCGTGTTTGTGGCCTTGGAGCACCTGGCCCGTTGTCGGGAAAC